ACAATCTACGAGGATGACGGGATGCCAATCACTAACATCTCTCGAGGTCTTGGACGATGGGCGGAATTTTTCGAAGGGCAGTTCAACCGGCCTGCTGCTCTGGCAACATCAACCAGCTTGTCCTGCCCCCATGGCCGGTGACGACTGATCCACCAAACGAGGCGGAAGTCCGCAAGGAACTCCAACTCTTGAAACGCTAAAAATCACCGGGCCCAGATGACTTACCTCCGGCTCTTTTTACAGATGGTGGTGACTTTCTGACGAAGGAATTGACTGTGTTGTTTGGAAAGGTTTGGGAGCAAGAAAGTGTTCCAACATCTTGGAATGAGTCAATAGTCGTCCCTATCTTTAAAAAGGGTTCACGTTGTTCCTGCAATAACTATCGGGGGATAAGTCTACTTTCGATTGCGTCAAAACTATTGGCTTCTATCATTCTTCGTAGGTTGTTTAAAACCCGAGAACGATTGACTCGCGAGGAGCAGACTGGTTTTCGTTCTGGTCGAGGATGCATTGATCACATCTTCACCCTCCGCCAAATGTTAGAACACCGTCATACTTAACGCAGGCCAACAATCGTAATGTTTATTGATATCAGGGCGGCCTTCGATTCGTTGGACAGGACTGTTCTCTGAGATTGTCTATTGAAGAAGGGTGTGCCTGAGAAGTTCATTAACATCTTAAAGGCCCTGTATACGAACACCTCAGGCAGAGTGAGGGCATACAACCACCTTTCTCCCTTGTTCCATTCGAGCAGTGGGGTTAGGCAGGGTTGCCCGATCTCACCATTCCTCTTCAACTTTGCCATCGACGACATCCTGGAAACAGCTCTGATGGATGTAAGTAATGGCGGTGTGGATATGTTGCCTGGAGAACGACTTCTCAACCTTGAGTATGCGGATGATATTGTCTTACTGTGCGATAATGCCCAAGGCATGCAATCAGCACTTAATCAGTTGGCAATCAGTGTCCGCAGGTACGGTATGTGCTTTGCACCCTCCAAGTGCAAGGTACTCCTACAAGACTGGCAGGATTCTCATCCTGTACTCACCCTGGATGGTGAGGAGATCGAAGTAGTTGAGAAGTTCGTGTATCTAGGTAGCTATATAAGTGCTGGTGGTGGCGTGAGTGATGAGATTGATGCACGTATAATGAAAGCCAGAGCGGCTTATGCCAATCTGGGCCATCTTTGGCGCCTTCGTGATGTTAGTCTGGCTGTAAAAGGTTGGATCTACAACGCGTCGGTGAGAGCAGTTTTGCTCTATGCTTGTGAAACCTGGCCTCCCCGAGTTGAGGATGTTAGACGTCTCTCTATGTTCGATCATCGTTGTCTCCGAAGGATTGCTGACATTCAGTGGCAACACCATGTTAGTAATGCAGAGGTTCGGCATCGTGTGTTCGGGCGCAGAGACGATAATTCAATTGGTGTCACCATCTTGAAACACCGACTTCGGTGGCTCGGACATGTTTTACGAATGTCGTCCCAGAGACTTCCACGTCGTGCATTATTTGCCGACCCTGGGACTGGTTGGAAAAAGCGGAAAGGAGGTCAGTGTATGACATGGTGTCGTGGCATGAAAGAAAGCTGCAAAGGGCTAGCTTCCGTTGGTCCTTCACGACTCCCTGGTTGGGGTCCGAGAGATGGTGCAACACAGTGGCTAGAGACGTTATCAGATATGGCTCAGAATAGAAGCCAGTGGTGATCCTGCTGCAACCTTCTTTTACTTTCTACATAAAGAGTGGTTCTAACTTTCCTAACTGAAAGAGTCTTCTGGTTGTACATTTCAGCCCGCCTTATCTTTTCATCCTTTATCTACCTACTTTCATTATTTTGTGTGGCGCATATGTACCTGGTGCCCTTTTGTACCAATATATATGTGTTTAAATAAATAAATAAATAAATAATCCTAATACAAGCAAACTAGACAATTGGCTAAAAACGAAGCCCACTCTATACCCTATAAAATCTGAAAACAAAAATAAGAGTTCAATCAGCTTCTAAAGTAAAGAGAGACAGTCATTTGTATCGGAATGCTGTTTACAGCACTTTATTTTATAATTGCACAATTCCATACTTCCTTCTAAACTACCTTCATTTATACAGTTCCTTACCCACTCATACCTTGCCCACACTTATTTTTCTTTAACACATTAGTATGTTCTTACCTAATAAATACTTCAGTAACAGACAAATAGACTAAATGGTTATACCTTAACTATTCCTCCATGAATATTGTGTGCTCTGCTTTTCGTCCTTCTTTTTTCTTACACCTTTTTCAGCCTCCTGCAGATACTCCACCGAAAACAGATATGGCACGGGTGACTTCGTCCTACACCGTTATTAATGCTTCCGATATTCTGGAGGGATATAAGTTCGAAAATTATAAAAGCCCCCAACTTCGCATGTATCTATTCTGGCAAGGTAAATAAGTCGGTGCGTTTTCAAACCTGCCAGGCGTTTCCTTTTTGCGACCTTGAACGGCCTGACACGAGGCGGTCATTCCGTATTTGATTTGTTGATGGTCGGTTGTCATCTGGGTTGCACGAATATCAGGTTTTCTTGTATTTGCGTCTTTTTTGGCTGTAGCAAATTCGAAAAATCAATGCCAAAGGCGTTTATTGTGCGTACTGTGTTTTGTAGTGTACAACTTGGCTCTTTTGTTGCTACGTAACTTGACCTGGGATACCAATTACCCTACTGAACCTCACTTTCCTTGTTTAGAATTCGTTGGGGTCCGCAAAACTGCGTATTCAGTATAAATTATCAGTTAAAGATACTATGAATTTGTGTGAATCCTTGTTTTCTGCAAGAATTAAGACGACATGACGAGTAACCCGTAATTCCTAAATGTTTGTAGTCCTTTCTTCAGTTACTGAAGTATTATCGCATGAAATAGCTGTTTTTCCACTAACTAACGAGTAATGTTTGTGGTGATTTATGTTCCAGAGACATTTCGGTCGACTTAAGTGAGGCGTTTCAACGCATAATACTGAGCAGGCGTTTTGGAAACTGGATTGAATTCTATGGTGTGTTTAAGGAGTTCCAAAAAGTATGGATGCATAATTCCATCCCTTTTCAGACCACCCGTACACATAACGTTCACGGCGAAAGTAAACTGCTGAAGGACGTGCGATTTAAATACATTTTTGTGGTGTTATGAACTAGATGCAGGCACTTGCGAGTGCAATTGTCGAACATTTATGGCTTGTCGATATCCTTGACGTCATATACTACTGGCATATGTAAAAAGACCAACTCTTACAGGTGAGCTTAATGGACTACGAAATAAACTAATTAGCTCATCACATACTTAGACCATGCAGCCGATGGAAGTTAAATAGCACGCATAACTTCCATTATAATACAACATCATTACCCAGACGGAGTGAAGAGTATATACGAATCCAAAGAAGCCAGGAAGTTCATAAACAACAGATAGTTTAAAAATATGGTGAACACTTCGCCATGGTGGTGGAGAAAAAAGTAGACAATTATCACTTAAAAATCAATAATTAGGTAAGACTGTCATTTTTCAAACATTTCTCTTCCTGCAGTCCTATTTACGATCAGTATATTCGGATGAATAATTGGAGTGGCATTGTTTCCTAATCACATGGTCTCCGGAATCAAGCATATAATAACTAAAAAGATGTAACACTTGGAGAAGATCTGAAGTGGTGAACGTGGAGATATTCATTCAATCGAATGGCATGAGTCAGTGTTGCAGACGCGCTCATTATGTTTAACTTATTTATATTCACATTAAATATATTATTCTATCCCAAGCATAAATGTGTTCTTCAGAAGTACTAAGTATTGTTATTTGTCGCGATACGATGGGTCAGTGTAGATAGTGATGCGATTTTCACTTAAGATCTTACAGACTAGGCAATCAAGCGATAAATTTACCGTTATCGGACAACGTCTATTATGAAAGTAGTATTAGTACCGAACCAGACTATACACATACTGGAAAGATTTAAAGTGCGAAAAACTACAGTTGTTATATTTAGATAACTTATTAGATGAATAAACGCGGTAGTGGTCAATACAAAATACAGTTATCGTCAATGTGTGAATTGTTTCTCCCATATTAAGAAATTCACCAAATTGTTCACCTGCATAGACTTGATTATTACAAAGATTTGAGCCTTTCAATTAGTTGACAGAAGTCATAAGTTGTATAACAAAATGTAAGGATAGCTTGCTCAATGCAATTCTGAAAAACAACAAATCAATCGTGAAAGAAAAGATTAAACTTCGTTATCAGTGTCAAATTCCATAAGTAAATGAAATAGCAATTGATGGGATGTACCTGTAAGTGTTTTACTTGCTGTAAACAGTGCTCTTCACTTTCTAACCTTCCTACAATTTCATCTAGTTATTCGGTATTAACAAACAAACGAAGGGACTCACAAACTTTAATTAGTTATATGAAGTTTGAGAAAAATCCAATTACAACGTTCATAATACTGTTTACATACAATAATGAAATAACTGGTAACCACTATTTAGCGATTACTCGTCAACATGCATTAACACTTTGTTTATGATTTAGTCAGTGATTTCGGATTCTGTTAACAGAAATTTATATTTTAACCCTATACGAGACATCGTAAAATAGTATTATCTACATGTTTTAGTTATCATGCTCATAACAAACACGCATCGCTTTACTTAAGAAGAGTATTTGGCTAACTTATGTGGCACTTACAGTAATGTTCTACACAATTTCTGTGTAAATTCAGAAAGCGGACAGAAAAATCTATCAACGTCAATTGTTACTAACATAATTTTTCTTTCTCACATTACGTAATAACATATCAGTCCAGTTAACAACGATGATACTTATCATGGATTAAACTGTTTACGGCTGTATATTAATAGTTCATATTGTAATGTAGCACGTTATATATTGACGTTCACTTTGAAGCAGGAGCGATCTGAAACAACAACACTACAGTGAGGACCGGTAAGTGCCGTCGAAGTAAGAACACAATGTACTGGTACAACAGATATATTTTTAAAATTGAAAGACACGGTTGAGTGCAAAAGGGGAAACCTTCTACAAAATAGTTTTATTCATTGTTCTGCTCGTTCAGATCGCGTAGGGCTTCTTCCTCTATTTAGAGTGCGTTTACTCTTTGTTGCCCTGCAATAGAAAAACAAACTCCCATTAGGAACATCGCATGGAATGATTATTATTGCCATTACAAGATTAATGAATAGTTTGACTCTCAATTACAATTTATAAACAACTACTGACACCCACGTTCATCCCCATACAACCAATAAAGGGGAAATAAAGCGAAATTTCCCCTTTCTGTCGCTCTGTTTTTCAAATGTCGCTAAATTGCCGACTTTTACCTTAAATATCCGACGAATTTCCGATTTTCACCCTAAATATCCGACGAATTGTCTACTTTTCTACTACATGCACACCGATGTAATTAAGCGCCCACTTTTAAAACGCTTTTGTATTTACCCCAACCGCCTCCTGTGTTCACCTTCATTCCCACAACACAGCACACGAATAATGTAATGTACGTAATATATGGTATAAGTTCCAAATTTTTATTGAAAACAAAAAGCTTATTATTGTACAACGTCATGAGCACTTGGCAGATGGTAGAGCATCAATGTTCCTGATGTAATTGCGATTGTCACGGACCAGATATTGTTTCTTTCCATCAGGCCTTTTGGACTATGGAGATTCAAATAATTCTTGTGAATTCTAAAATGTAATGAAGAAGAACGTTACTATATCTAGGAAACTTGTTTTGCACAACAAGGTACTTGAAGCTGAACTTACGGTTATATCCTTAAACACGGAAGACTCTACCTATAGATAACCGGAAAACAATAATCACTTTAAAGTCGAACGTACGTGTTCTTTCTTCCGTCGATGACGCTTCTGTACTTTGTCTCTCATGTCGTGAAAATAACTTTGTGTAGCCATGTCACATAGTTTCGCAAGGTCTTTCTCAGTGACAGATGACGACAGGGATCGATTAGTAAGTGCACCTGAAGTTTAAAAACCTTATTTATCTTACTTCGTACGCATCCATAAAACCGGCACTTCTGAATCGCTCGTTTTGATGAAGTAACAAGTAGCGTGAAATTAATGGCAACTTCAGGTTTCATGATGTAGGACAGAAGATATCGCATGGAGGTTTTAGGATCATCATTCATTAAACGCGTCAACATGGCCATCTGTAATAGGAACGAAGGATAAAAATCATGTTGTGTGCTTACAAATCTGTCCCTCACGTGCAGGCGAAAAAGCGACATTTCCCCTTTATTTACGCTTTCGTCCACTTTATTCCCCCTTTTTCGCTTTTATTTCCACTTTATTGGTTGTTTGGGTCACTACCATAATAAGGGAGGTAAGTCATATGTAAATTATTCTACAGCTTGTTTTTGCTTGAAACTATAATTTTGGTGTATTTTTGACTTGATGAATGGTGAATTTCACTTGCCTGAGTTTGCATTGTTACAAATTACCAAGTTAGGCTGAATAAACATTCATCCAGGTTGTCAGCTCCAAATACGTCAGGCAACCAATAGACTGCAATAAACGCCATGTAACACATAAATACTACAAAAATTAACATGTGACGGAAAAATACTGTGATTAGCCGACAAAGAAACGACGTTAGAAATCCGCGACAACATGTAACACATAAGCGAGAATCAATGACATGACTTTTCGACCATGCCATCTATTCTCGACCATCAGTTGTATGTTGCAACGCTACCTCCATAAAGTGCGCCAAGTGTGATATTGATATTGTCATGTTTCTTATGAAATCCATTTACATTCATATCTTATGAAATATCAACCCAGCTGAGTAATTTTCAACAGTGAAAATTGTAGCTTTTTTAACAATTTGATCTTGCCTGTAAACCGGCATGTCTCATGTAACAATCTGTTATTTGAGAATAAATTATTATTATTATTATTATTATTATTATCGCAGTCACAGAAACATGGCTGACGCCGTCTATAGATAGTAGGGAAATTGATTTCGAGGGTTTTACATTAGTAAGGGCCGATAGAACACAAACGCGTAAATGAAGGGGAGTAGCTCTATTCATTAGGAATGCTATTCCATTCACTAGTAGATTGGAAAATAGACCCAGAGTCATCAATCGAAACGGCTTGGGACGTATTCCGGAATTTATACTTATAAGAAATAATACTTCTTCATATGTACCTTGTGAATTTTTAGTTAGTAAAACAGGACTGTTCATATTGGGTTTAAAAAATCTGAAAAGGCTTAAGTGGAATTGTCTCTACTAGTTTTTACAGAGAATTCTGATGCTTTACTTAAAAATTTGATAGCTGTGTGTGCTAAGTGTAGTGGAGGTATGAAAATTCAGCCCATGAAACTTCAAGTACAGTGTGATCCATTCTTTCGTAAAAGACGAATAATTCCTTATGGTCTTCGAGAAGCAGTACATAAGTCACTGAATGATTTGTGTGGGAAAGGTATAGATAAACCAGTTCAGTCCTCGGCATGGGGTACTCCTATTGTTACGCCATTGAAGTCGAATGGCAAGACCCCCTAGAATATGTGGTGATTAAAGATTAACACTGGACTCCTGTTTGTTGAAGCAATCGTGCACGAAGATGGAGGCTGAATATATTCAAAATCGACTTCATGGTTCTAAAGTGTTCTCGAAAGTCTACTTGAAAGATGCTTCAGATCCCTTTAGATCAATCTTCATCTATCTTGACAACAATTAACACTCCTTTTGGTCTGTTCAAATACAACTTTCTTCCATTTGGTCTTAGTTGTTCTCCAGCCATATTTCAGGAAGTTATAAATGAGATTGTCAGCGATATTGAAGGTGTTGAAGTTTATCAAGATGATCTCATTGTTCATGGTGCTGATAAAGTAGTTCATGACCAGAGACTTATTGCTTTATTGCGTTTTTTAATTAAGAAGAATATTACAGTGAATCCAAATAAATGTTCATTTTGTGTATCTAGTTTTGAATACCTTGGATACCTAGTTGATGGTAATGATTTTAGACCAGATATGAAACGACTAGCCCCACTGACAAATGCACCGTCTCCAAAAAATATCACAGAATTACGTTCACTAACGGGTGCTCTTCAGTACTATTCTCGTTTTATTCCTCATTTTTCTTGTCGTGCCAACTGTTTATTTAATATTTTGACATCCAATTCATTCAAATGGGAAGAAGACCAAGAGTCATGCCTACGAAGTCTGCTAAAGTTTCTTCCAAGTGATGCTTTTCTTCGAACTTACTCACCCAGTGTACATTCTGTACTTATTACTGATATATCACCTGTGGGTATTGGTGAAGTTTTGGAACAGGAAGGTAGGCCAGTTATATGTGTTTCACGCAAACTTTCTGTTTCTAAACAAGGTTATTCACAAACGCAGCGAGAAGCATTAGCTGTGTTTTGGACTGTTAAAAGACTTCACAAATATTTATTTGGAAAGAAGTTTGCCTTTTTTACTGACCACGAAGCTTTAAAATTCATTTATCATCCTGACAAATCCTTAGCACGTTCCTCAGCTGCTATGGTTCAATGATGTAGTATTGCTTTGAGTGCTTATGACTATACAGTTCAGCACAGGAGTGCGAAACAAATTCAACACGTTGACTACATCTCTCGACAACCATTACACGATAGATCTGTTAATACTTCAGACTGTTTGTTAGTGCAACCTTTACCGGTGAGACGTCCAGATCTCATTAGAGAAACTCATAGATACTTTAGATGTATACTCAGTGCTATACGGAAGGTTGGAATGTCAATCTGAAACTTAGATTTCCTGTCTATTATTCAAAGCGGGACGAGTTATTTACTACCCCTGGCGGTATTTCGTGTCTAAATGATCATATTGTTATTCCTCATTCATTACGCAAACCTGTCCTTGATGATCTTCATATTGGATATCTAGGTGTTAAGAAAATGAAGTCCTTAGCAAGACTCACATATTGGTGGCCAGAGATAAATGCGGATATATGTCGTACAGCAAACAATTGTGAGAAATGTCATTAGCTAAAAAGTCAGCCTTCGAAGTGGACTCCATGGCCAGTATCATCTGAGGCCTGGCAGAGAATTCATGCAGACTACTGTGGTCCATTTCTTGGCAAATACTATGCATTTGCGCAATACATTTCGAACAATCTGATCACACATATACTTGTTAAGAACATTTATATCCAGAGTGATTAGGTGTCAAGTTGTTTTCACTTTATTTTATCATTATTATCCTTGTCTATTTCTTAACCTTATTACCAGTCTAGTTGACCTTTTATTTTTATATATAAATGTTCTTAACAAGTATATGTGTGATCAGATTGTTCGAAATGTATTGCGCTAATATATCACATAGTCCTGATAATCTTCGTCTTCTTATTACATTATCGAAATTTATCAAAGGGACTAATTGCTTTAAAATACTATGCACTTGTAGTTATTGATTCTTTTTCTAAGTGGCCTGAAGCTTTTTCACAACTTCATTGAATTCTGATTTCACAATTCAAGCATTAAGGAAGGTGTTTAGTTGAGGAGTTCCCATAGTGTTAGTGACTGATAATGACTCTCATTTCGCTGCGGGGCAGTCACTAATTGGTTGAATTGTATATAGTGCAGAAATCTGTTTACGGCTCCCAGGCACCCTTGTTCTAATGGTCAGGCAGACAATTTCGTAAGAACATTGAAAATTGCTATTGATTCTATTGCTGCTTCAACATTTAATGTACTGGAGAGGGGAGTAGATACATTTCTACTTCAATGTAGAAATGCCATGCATTCTGTGACGAAAGAGACTCCATCAAAGCCATTGAAAGGAAGAATTCTCCGTTTGAATATGAGGTGTTTGGAGTCTTTAGAGGTTACGTATTATCGAGGGAATGATCTTCGACCAGCCATGGGGATCGTGGTGAAGAATGTCGGAAAATCTATGGTGCGAATTCTGGATATCAGTGACTTGACTATACATGACCGACACGTTTGTCAAGTACAATACCAGAACTCAGGTGAGTCTATTCCAATTTCGGTTGTTAATTCTGATACTAATGAGTGCATTATAGATAATACAGAGTCTACATCCAATACACTGTCGGACAGATGTAAGATGAACTTGAGAATACGAACAATCGATTACAGACACTTACACTCCAATTTGAGCTGTGGAGGATGTGATGTTTCAATAAATCAATGACTTCTTTGTATTGATGACTGTTGTGATTTTGAATTCGGGTTCATCTAATAATTCTTGATTAAATTGTGTTATTCCTGGGATTACTAGTTTGTACTACAACTCAAATACTCCTGTTTATCACAAGGGGGTTTTGTGGAGATTTTAGTAATTTTATATAGTTAAGATAATCAGTCAGTTGAAGCTAGACCACTATGGAAAACCTGGAAGCACTGGACGGCCGTTTCGTCCTATCATGGGACTCCTCAGCAGTGAGCATCCACGATCCCTCTCTCGCGAGATTCGAATCCAGGACCTACCAATCTCGAGCCAGAGCCCTTAACCGATAGACCACTGATCCGGCATCCAACGGTGTTAATGTCTAACCTCAACGAATCCACGAAATTGCGCAGCCAACTTCCATTGTACTGAGGTAGATACCTGTCTCTAGCTGACATGGATTAGCTCCACTGGCCACGACTTCTCACTAGAACTCCAGGAATTACCTCATATGCTCACTAGTGAGCATCCAGGTTTTTGATGGTGGTCTAGCTTCAACCGACTCATGATCTTAACTATATAAAACTTCTGATTATCATTGAATCCTAAGTTGCCTTGAGAAATATCAGCCAATCAGGTAACAGCGTAGAGTAAAAATATATTATACAACACCAAAGAATTAGAGTGAATGCACTTCCTTTACATGGTCCAAAAACTTGTCAAGGTTAGAAAAAGGTTCTAAAATCGTGTAGCTGTAAATAAATCCTCAAAATCAATAGCTGTGTAAGCGTCCGACATTGTATGCTGACCACATTAGTTTTAGTGGACTCGTTTAGCTGAAGGCGCTCAGCCATGCATCCGTACCAGATCAAGTTACTGAACGGCGTGGAAAGCATCTCCTACAATCATTAGCCAGATTAGATCAGTCACTTCTCGATATATTGATAATCCATCAAGTATATATTTCGAACCTCCTCGCTTCTGACTTTTGATTTCACTAAGTGGGCGCGATTCGATTATAGGTGTTACTGGTAAAGTGTTGTCAAACTACAATACCGTTGATATCTTCAATCGTAATGTTTAAGGTAGAGGAACTCATCCATATTGCTCCGTAATACTCCGTCTATGGAGCTATGATAAAGTCACAAAACTCTCTCGTCCTCGACCACATAGTCCCAATTTTGTTTGCATGTATTCTGGTTGTGTAAGTTTATCATTTTTATTGCGCATATATCCCTACAGTACTCATAATTCTGAACAGCCAAAGCTCCAGTAACATCTTCGAATATTGTAGCCAATAATACTGGTGCTTTTATTATACAATTAGCAGCAATTATTATAATTCGCCTTATTTTATAACTGGATCGAAAAAAGTTCCTATTCCATCAGACTTCTTCCTCCATCATGTATTACATCGAAAGATAACATCATCAGGGTAGTCTGCACAAGGTCTACCGCAATTACAAATATAGGAACTTCTTAATAGTCCCGTTTATTGTAGCCGCCTAATTGTCATGTCTTCTCTAAAATCCTTTGTACAATAGCATCAGGTACTGA